CCCCACCCCAATGCCAGCCTCATGCTACAACAGTGGCACCATATAGCATTTGTCCCTTTGTGTCTCTCACTGTTTCTAATGTTCCAGTTCTTTATCTCTTGAGTCAAAGAGATTATCAGAGAAGGAACCCCAGGTTTAAAGGAGATGTTCTATCCCTGTCTTCTCTTGATTTGACTCATTTGAAGCCTTGTTAGAGTTTCATGCATGGTATTTGCATGGTTCCATTCCCACACGAGTGCCATGAACTTGATTTGCGTTGCTGTCGTTGTTGTTCTGTACCAGAGTCAGAATCAACCCATAGCTGATCCTCTGGCAGGTTTGCAGAAGCAGTTATTGCATAGGAGGAAACGGCCCATCCTTCTCCCGCAGAGCAACTAGCTGCCTTGAACTGTGTGCCTTCAGGATTGCAGCACAGCTTCTTGCCACCAGACTCAGAGTCATCTATTTGGTTATCTTAGTGGGCCACAACCACCTCATTTGCACAGTTTCATCAGTCATTTGGTTGGTGTTCCAAAGACTATGGCTCTCATTGCTGTCAAGTTGGAACTGACTCAGAGTTGACCCTCCAGAAAGTTTTCAGAGGCAGATCACACAGGAGGAGATTGTCCAACTTTCTCCCTCAGAGTAGTTGGTGGATTTGAACCATCTACCTTTGGGTTGAAAGTACAACTACTTATTTACTAGGCCACCAGAGTTTCCTTATATTAATTGATTATTTAATTGCACCAAAACATAGTAACTGGTTGGTCAATCTTTATGATCTGATTATATCTTTATTCTATAACCCACTACAATGGCATAAATGAAATCTATACAGAGGAGTCCTTAATTATTTACAGAAAGGCTAGTTTATATGAGTATGTGTGTGAGTAACGGAAGGCAATATGAATATGTAAAAACAGTACATCTGGCACGGGAGCTGCAGTGTCTGATCTTACCTCCACTACCTCCAAAAGGAGGAAGAATCTCTATCAACAACATAAAAAATGTAAAACTGATTCCTATGAGGTCAGATGTGTCCCCATGTTCCTACATCTGCTGCTATAAATACTAACACTAACTAACCCTCCTACAGTTCTTGTTAATATTGGGCCCCCCAATTCATTGGCAATAATCAGAGAACTCATAAGCAATGCTCATTAACAATTATGAGGTTTCTTAGGGCAGTGACAGTTTATAATTTAGGGACTAAACATTCTGGGTCTAATGATTTCGTTTGGACAGTTTCTCAGGTGTGCTCACGGGCAGGTCTCCCTCTGATCCTACCTTGTGGTTCTGGACCAGTGTCACAGACCTTTTTCAGTTCTACCAATGACAGTATTCTCTATGTCTCCCCTTCTACTACATGGCTACTCCACCACTAAGCCTAGATGAAGGTCCTAGACTTTGTTTCTTTAGGTTGAGAGTTTTATTTCAGCAGTTGAAAGTTTTAGTTCAGCTGTCTCAAAATAGTCTCTGGTCTCAAAACGTTTGCTGCTGCTGCTGCCGCTGCTATGGTCTGGGCCTCTGTTTACTGCTGGATCTCTGGCCCAGAAGAACTCATTGCACTCTCTGTCTCTTTTTTCTTGATTATAGTGAGAGTCCCATTTTCTGATTCTGAATCTGCTCAATTTAAGCCTGGCAGGATTGCAAAACTAACCAATCCCATTGTAAGTGGTTTGCACACTTTATTTGCATGTTCCCATCCAAAAGATCCTAATTGCCTTATTTACATTATTAAAGGATTATCCAATCCCCTTGTGTGGACCACAGACACCCCACATTTGTATATTGTTGTTGTTGTTATGTGTCATTGAGTCACCTGAGACTCTTAGCGACCCTATATACAATAGCTCTGAACCCTGCTTGGTCCTGAGCCAGTCTCATCATCTCTGACACACCTATCTCTGTTACCCCAGTTACCGTGTCAATCTATCTCATGCAGGCTCTTACTCTCATGCACTGTTTCTCCACTTTGCGAAGCCTGATGTCCTTCTCCAAGCACTGGTCCCTCCTGGCAATGTGCCCAAAGTATGTGAGACAGAGCTTGAAAATCTTTGCATCCAAGAAGAAACTTGGTTTTACCCTCTCAGACTTGTTTATTTCCTTGGTGGTCTATGATATGGTCAGTACTCTTCTACAGCACCACAACTCAAAGGGATTGATTCTTCTTCTATCATCCTTATTCATTGTCCAGCTCTCTGATGCATAGCAAGTAATTGCAAAGACTATGACGTGGATCAGGTGCACCTTAGTCTCTAGACTGACATCATTGCTCTATAGCACTCTGGAGACGTCCCTGGCAGCAGGCTTCCTCAACGCAGTTTGTCTTTTGACTATCTGACTGCTGTTGTCAAGAATGTTAATTGTGGAGCCAAGCAAGCTGAAATTGCTCACAACCTCAATCTCTTCACCATCTCTCGTGATGCTGCCAATTGGGCTGGTGGTGAGAGTCTGTTTTCTCCAATGACAGCACAGGATAATTTGAAAACCATTACTAACATTTTTTCCTCTTTTGATAATCTTAAATCACTTTAAAATTTAATTAGTGTGGTTTCCTTGCAAAAACCAGATATTTGAATATAAGATAGCTTTTTTTCCCTTCAAGACCCAACTACCCTATAATTAAGGGTGAAAGTAGAAAGAAACCTGGAGAGCTCTGGTGATATAGTCCATAGAGAGTTACACTGTTAACCCGGATGCCACACCTCTTTGGCAGAGTTCCCCAGCAACTCTGTGGGAGAAATGTGGGCAATCTCCTCCCATCTGCTTTATAGCCTCAGAAATCTACTAGAGAGTCCGCTGTGAGTTAGCTCTGACTCAAAAAAACAGCAGCAAGTTGGACTTTTTTGAGTATAGAGAAAGTAGTGACTATTTCTTCTATCTAATTATACTGTGTAATTGTAATAAAACTTTTTTATTCATCTATCTCAAACTTTGTTTCCATTTTCTCCAGCATTAACTTTTTACTATCTAATGGTGGCCTAGTGGTAATAATCTGCACTATAATCCCAAAGGCACAAGCTTGGAATCTGCCAGCTTCTCTGTGGGAGAAGGATGGGAAATCTCCTCCTCTGTGATTACTGCCTCTGAAAATCCACTAGTGGGTCAGCTGTGGGTCACTTCCAACTTGATGGTACACAACAACAAAGCAAAAATATGTACATTTAAGGCTATATGTTGTTGTTATGTGCCATCGAATCCCTTGCAACTCATAGTGACCCTATCTATGTACAACAGCTCTAAACCCTGCTCTATCCTGTGCCAATCTAACTGCCTCTGACACACCCATCCCGATTACCCGAGTCACTGAATCAATCCACCTCATAGAGGGTCTTCCCCTTCTGCGCCATTCCTCCACCCTCCTAAGCATGATGTCCCTCTCCAAGGACCTGTCCCTCCTTACAACATGTCCAAAGTATGTCAGACAAAGCCTCAGAATCCTTGCCTCCAAGGAGTGGCCTGGTTTAACCCTCTCCTGGATGAATCTGTTTTCTCGGCAGTCCATGGTACATTCAATACTCTTCTCCAGCACCACAGCTCAAAGTCATCAATTCTCCTTCTATCCTCCTTAGTCATTGTCCAACTCTCTGATGCATAACAAGTGATTGCAAAGACCACAGCCTGTATCAGACGCACCTTAATCTCCAAAGTGACACCATCACTCTTCAGTACCCTGGAGAGGTCCCGAACAGCAGATTTTCCCATCGCAATATGTTTTTTGATTTCCTGGCTACTGGTGCCAAGAGTGTTGACTGTGGAGCCAAGCAGACTGAAGTTGTTAACAATTTCAATCTCTTCACCATCCTCTAAATCATTATATAGCTGTAAAGCCCAAGTTTAGCTATGTAAAATATTC